GCTTGTGACTTAGAAGTCTAAACCTCATACAGAAAGGATTAAATTCAAACCCCCGTCTTCACATCTTTCTTCATCTCCCTCCAAGGCCAACAGACGATACATTTTGGCGAACAGAAGACTGCGATCTTTTTTAAAAAAGCGAGGCAGAAAGAAAAGTAGTGGCTCATTTCTTTCTGAGAAACACCGTGTGGTACTCATGAGTTCTTTGAAAAGCATGAATGCTAAAAGAACTCTGACGTAAACAAACGCTTGGGAATATTTTGCACAGGCTTGGGCTGGGCCGCCCAGCTCTGTGACACTCACGTGAGTCAGAAACTTTGGAAAACCGACAGCGCCTTTTTAATTGAGGGAGATTTTCTATCAGTAAGGAATCCTGTCACTCGCTGACTGCAAAGGGGATTTCACAAGCTGCGGGGAGAAATGGCGGGGTTGGGACTAGTCAGTCTTGTTTCTCGGCAAACGGCAACTCCTGTGTCTTCCTGGATGATGGGTGCAGGCTTCACGTGATGTCACTGAGAGATGCATTGCTCCTCCAATCAGAGCTGACTCTCCTGTAAGGCACTGTGGAGCTCTAAGCATGTCACAGGTTAAAGACAGCATGTCCCAAAGCAGAGACTCCTGTGACTTCCTGGATGAAGCGTGTGGGCTTCCTGTGATGTCACTGAGAGACAAGTTGCTCCTCCAATCCGTGCTGTGACCCTCCTATAAAGCACTGTGTAGCTTGCAGAGTGTCAAAAGATGATTGGCTCAAGGTGTAGGCCAGTGGGAGGAGCTTTTGGAAAGGAGATGCAGGGATTGTCCGTCTCCCCATGTAGTATAAGAAATCATTGTTGTGAGATGAGACGTAGACAAACAATTGAAGATTCGAAATTGGTTGGGTATTAAAAGAAAAAAAACAGTAAGATATTTCACAATGATGCTAGCATTAAAATGTTTTTGTGTATTTTAAAGTTTTAATGAATAGGAATGAATCAATTAAGTTAGAAAAATACAATTACAGTACAACTCATGCTTTTGTTGAAAAAAACAAAACAAAAAGTCCACACTTGCTGAGACAAAAATGCAGAAGGTAAAAAAGAGCAATGGCAAACGGGGGGGGGAGGGGGGGCAATTGCTTACACAAAGGGTGGTGGGAGTGTGGAACAAGCTGCCCAGCCATGTTGTTGAAGCCGATACCCTGGTGGCTTCTTCAAGGAAACAGCTGGGTCAGATCCTCCAGTCAGGACAGGAGACACCTCTTTATGCAAACAGTGGTAGGCGTATGGCTCTATTAGGTACTAAATACCAAAAGGGATAGACAGGTCAAAAGGTTTTGTATGTCCTTAACCCAAGTCTCCTGAAAGAGATGGTGCGATGTTGCACAGCAGATTCTGATTGGAAAGCCTTTCAGATGTTCAGGGTTAGTACTGGACAAGCCCATTCACCCACTCAGTAATTACTGTAGTTTTAACTGAACAGCACTGTTAAACTAATATTCACATGCACAAACTATGTACCCATCCATTTTTTATCCAAAGCAGTGAGCTCTTCCCTTTCTTGGTTCGCCATCCCAGTACAATTTGGGATGTTTAGCTGGAGGTTAAACAATTGAAATCTCGCATTTTTAATGAAACAGAGTGGAGAGGCAGGGCCATACACACTGCACGAGCTTGGAAGCTGAGCCTGAGCTTTTTAAGACCAAAATCAAGACGATATCAAAGCTGATGTCTTATAAAGGAGGAGGTTTTCCTGAAGCTTGAAAGATAGAAGATAACAACCTTCTAAAGGGGATAGAAGATAACAACCTTCTAAAGGGTGAATCAGAAGGGGATTCCGATTATCGGTCTATCTGCTGTCAAAAAGTCAGGATTGTGGCCAGGTGGGTCACATTTTCTGAGCTCTTAAACCGACCCTAACTGGAAAAGACGTGGAGCGACAGAAATCAAGAGGTTTCTGAATAGCCTCACTCACACAGGGCAAAGTGACATTTAACAAATCACACCGTCCTGTGTGTCACGAACACGGACTGAAATCCGTGTCAGGTCTTGTAGTAGACCCTATGCGAATGCGGTAAGAGCTGGAGAAAACAGGAGGCGTGGTAAAAAGGAACACACAGGGGTTTAATAGTGCACAAAATAATAGTGACAGTCCGCGAGACAGTGTACGGGGAAGACAGAACGGCATCCAAATCCAAACGGGTCCAAAGGCAGGTCAAAGCACAGTCCGAGTGTCCATCAACTAGAAATCCATCCTGGGACGCGACAAAGTTAAAATCCCCGGGAGGGGGGGAGAACACGGACAAACGAAACATGGAGGTCCAGGGGTGACGGGGCGAGATCCTCCAGACCCTGGGCTCAGGAAGCGGTAGGTGTCGGGGATGAGGCCTGTGCCCTCAGGAGACGGCCGTAGGGTTTCCTGGGGCTAGGCGGGCCTCGCGACATCTTACCCTAATGATGAGCCCCGAGGAC